TGCAGCTGAACCCTGGACCTCCCCACTCCCTCTCCCTCTCCCTCTCTCTCCCTCACTCTCTCTGTCTCTCTAGCTCGCTCACCCATTCTCATTGTCCCCAGATTGACTGGCCATTCTCAGCCTGTGATGGAGATGTCCTGTGGGGGGTTGCATGGTGTGGGAAACTACTTGATGAATGAGTGTTTGGCATGCTTGCAATGATGCATAGTTTGCTCCAGTATAGCTTATGTGTGTGTGTATGTGTGTTATTGTAGTCATAAATGCATGTGTGTTTATACGAGTGTGTGTGCCTGTATGAACACAATGCCCCGCTTGTGTTGCTATAGAATGGAGTTATGGCCTTTGTCCTGTCAGCATTCTTGTGTTGCTATTGGCCATGGAGTGCATGGCAGCTCCCGCAGGCTTGGGGACAATAACCCCTCCCCACCTTCCCCTCCTCTCGTCACAATGCGCTCTTCGGCAGCACCCATTACCCTGAGACAGACGCCCCCAAACTGGCCAGCGATGGGTGTCACACAGCTCCCAGCACCCAAAGATCCCAAGGCAGGCAAAGGGAGGAAAATACAAAGGCAAAAAATAAATGGGGAAAAAATGGGAATTTCTTTTCAGGAGTTTGCTAAGAGGAAGTGTGTGCTGGATAAGTGAGTCATGTGGTCAGTATTATCCCATCAGCTGTGATTCACTTACTGAGGAAATGAGGAGATTATGGTGTATAGGAAACCAGACTGAAAGTCCTTCACTGAGGTCCTTCACCTAAAAATATCCAGCTCAGTCCTCTACTATTGAAGCTCTTTGGTTTTTAAAGGGTTACTTTGTTATCTTTCCTCCTGTTCTCTTCCCATGTTTGTATGTCAAAGTGGCTTATAGGAACACCTTTCTTTAAATTGATTGGGCAATAGCGCTGCAACTTTCAAGACAATTCCAAATTGTCAAATGACATCCACTAAAAGTTGTTATCTTTGCCACTGACAGGCTCAGATCTGATATCTAGTTCAGCATTCTCTTTTGACTTAATATTGAGCCATGACATCGAAAATATTTCAGATAACAACAAACTACACTTTCTATAGGCCCAAAACAACAAACTCTGACAACAGGCAATCCTCTCTCCAACTATCACTCACGTTTCCACATGTATCTTCTGGTAACAGGTCCAATGTCACAAACAGGTCAAGTGAAAAGTATAAAAGGGTTTGATTTCTCAGTAAAGACTTTTCTTTAATGTTGTCAGTACTTTTATTGGACGTACATTACCAGTTCTGAATTCCCCATTGCATTGCATCGCATTCCGTTTCTATGCTGCAGCACTCTCCCTCAATACTGGACCAATTTCCAAAATGGTTGTGCCCATTAGTCACTTAGATACAAAAACATTTGAAAATAGTATCCAGGTTGAAAAATACCAAAGTCACCCTTTAATTGCTCGCAAAAACACACATGCATGCACACACGCATCAGGAATGTTTCTGTACCTGAGAATCATCAGAGCAAGCCAGAACAGGGAGGGTGGTGTTGACATAGCAGAGTGATTGAGACGCTACTGCTGATTATTATACAGCCATGAAAACAAGGACCTGATGTCATCGAGGCATTATGAACCAACGTATGCATCAACGTGACAACAGACAGACGGTTGGGTAGGGAAAACAGGACCTCATGACAAGCCGGGACACTCTTTTAAAAACAGATTAAACATCAGGAGCTGTCGAGTAGCCAAAGCATACATTCAGCCTCACAGGCTGCAAATCTGAGAGCAGGAATTACATGAGATAAGTTTGTTGACAGGCTAAATAAAGCATTTTCCCCTGGCTCCATTCACTAGCACCTGTGTTTTCACCCGCCACAAAGCCAACAGCGTATCCAGCTGCGTTTACACCATGAAACCACCGGAATGGCTTCCTTTCACTGACATTATCAAACCAACGTCCAATGCAAACAGGTCGCAGTGGTGTAGGTTTCTTTGTGTGTGTTTATGGATTTCTATTCTTAAGAGGAACAGGTGACAAACCCTTTGCATTAAGGCTCAAGTTTAGGGTTTAGATGAGGGTTTATTTACAGTGTATGTGTTAGGTTCTCTTTCTCTAACTTTACCTCTCAAGCAAACAGTAGGACTATCTCTCTAATCACATGAGAATGATGATGGATTTATTTGTATTGTTTGTCTCGATTCAAACATTGCTGTCACTACCCTGAACATAACCATGGTTGCCAGGAGAAAGAGCCACCTGACATCAGAACATGTAAAAGATTACGTTTGTTATTGGGAAGTAGAATTATTCCTTTTCTTGCAGAGATGACAATAAAACAATGACGTTTTTACCAGCAGCAGGTTAGCTTAGCTTAGCTTAGCACAATGACTTGCGGTAGAAACAGCACACCTGTCTTGGCCAAAGCCTGCCTATTACCACTTCTAAAGTTCACTAATCGGAGCCTCAATTAACCAAGAGATAAGATTATTAAGGGGTCAACACTTGTTATGTAAATGTATAATGGAAACATGTTTGATATTATGTTAAAAATAGTTGATGCATATAAAATGTGATGTTTGTTATTGCACAAATAAATGAAAATAGATAAGTGACTTCCTGGAGTCTGAATTGCTGGGAGAAAAACAAAGTTAGCATAGTTCTCAAAATGTCCAACTAACTTACACCTTCATAGCTTTAAGCTGTATCTCTTAGTATCGAGATAAAGCAATAAAAGAGTTTAAATGTGCTTTGTAGGAGCAAATAGAAATGATATATTTTTCTTTTACCGGAATTAGGTAAAAGATATACATAACAACATCCCTTATCAAAAATATGACTGGGTATCTGACTAATGAATTCCCTAGTACTGTATCATAATTACGTCCTCACAAACTCATGGGAAAATATCTTTCCCCTAGACTCCTGCTCACTGTTTACTGTTTGGTGCTGGGAGGGTAGCTTACCCCAGTTTTTATCGGTTTGTTTGCTGAAAACAAGGTTTCATGAGAATAGCAACATTGAGCAAGGCCGAGGTGCAACATTGAGTAATATATCTCTTAGACTTTGTATCTAGAATTTTTTATTTCTAGATTTTATTTGATGGTAAACAAAAACATATTGTTTAACGCAGGTGAATCAACATTAGGTCCTAAGAGGTATTGTAACAGAAAAATGTGTGTTTATGAGATGAAAAGAGGACAAGGAGGGAGAGAGGGAGGGTGAGTTAGCAAGTGTGGACACGACGGCGTTGAAGGCCCGGGGACACAGAGGGAGAAAAACATTAGAGGTGATTCACAGGCATCGCATGGCACATCAACACATACCTCTTTCTCTAAATCACTCACAAACGCCCACTAATCTCTCTCACACACACACCTCTGGTCTATTGAAACTCACATACACATAAAAGCACACACATATTACCCCACTCCCGCTGTTCAGCAGGGGGTTAAGAAGGCTTGTATGGATCAGTTCCCCACTAATCAGTACATGAGAGGGATTCTTCACATGCAGTCGGATTGCGTGTGTTGAGATTACAGTAAAAGTCCTCCTTCAGGCGCAATTTCCTGAATAAAAAAACACTCCTCTCTTTATTCTCTCATAAAGGTCTATGTTAAGTTACTATCATTTGTATGTGGATTCACAATGTGATATAATAACAACAAACACGTTTTTTTCTCCATGACGATGGAATATTCTTGAACAATATATGACATTGTAATTATATTTCCCCTGTTATGTTTTCGTAGTTAAGACTTAATTCCAAACAATAGACATTAAGGTGTTTTTGTCTTGTAAAAACTCTGGCTTAGTCAGATAGGATCTACACAGAGTGCCACCAGCCCCCATTCACCAGCATGAAGTGCTACACCTGCATCCTACACCAGCACACAGGACTTAAAATACCATCTAAAGGTACAACCAAATAGCCTTAGGGCAGGAGGATAATACACACACACTTCTCCATGAAAGAAGGGGCTTCTCAGGGTTAAAGCAAAAAGTATTCAGAAATGTTACTTGAGAAATAGTACCACCCCTTAAAATATGATTTTATAAGAAAAAATCCTAAAGTAATCAAATACTTAAAGTAGCAAAATACTTTACTTGTGTTACGCATAATGACACATTTGACGCTGTTTTAATATTCTATATTTTATATCACTACACTAACAATGCATTAACATGTTAGAATTATACAGCTAGTTTTGAGAAGTAATGTAATCTATAACATATATTGTGTACTGTAATTACTAGATTGAAATGAGAAAAGAGATGTGAGGAAGTTTACTTTATAAATGATTAATATGAGATGGTTATTCTTGACTGTAAGGAGGTCCATCCATTGTACTTACATTTGATAGAAAATGATTTAACAGTTCCCTCTAGTGGTATAAAATGGCACTACTTCCTCAGGGCAAAGCTGTGATTTAATCCTTTAATGAAAAAGTGACAATTGTATAGTGTCGTAGTGTTTGCTTGTTCTTTTTATTTATCCATGTTCCCTACTTTGTTTTTAGGTTTTGATTTGCTTAGTGCTTTGTATTGTTATATAGTGCTAAATGTTTATCTATTTATTTCATTATATTCTCTTAATACATTTGTTTAATACTGTTGGATAAACTTGTCAAATACTTCAATCCTATTGTGTTTATATTTCTAAGTAAATAAAGCTATATTTTATTTATGTCATACCATTTTATTTACCATCTTATTGTAATTTAAAAGTTGTATGAAGAGTGCAATACATTCATTGTACTGTTGAAGCTGTAATGCTCTTCATCCTGCAAATGACTTATAAGTAAGACTGAAACTGAACACTATGATAAAAAAAATTAAATAACAATAAAAGTAACAATTTACAGTATGTCACCTAATAGTTAACGCCAAACAGGACTACAACAATTAAAATGACAGTATAATTCAACTCTAAATACACATTGTGATCACCATCATCTTCCACATCTCCATCCTCATCAACAATCACAACAACACCACAACAACAACAACAACAACAACGTCACGTCTCGAGGACGCGCTAGAGCCTACACCACGCTACAGGGACTGACAAGATGGCGATCATTTTAGAAACAGAGGAGTTACTGCCGTGAAGGAGAGGCTCGGTATGCAGCTTTTTTTTCTCTCACAGTCATTCATATTCAACATGCTAGAAGTGTATGTGATGATATGTTAGTTGCCGTTTACACACATCCGGTCGGCTGGTTTTAAAGCCTAGCCGGCTGCTGGGAGCTGACCTCCGGTTAACGCATGAACTTGTTAGGATTATCTCAGTTAGCCTGGCAGGCTAATGCTAACTAGCATGCTAGACTAATGTTAGCAGGGCAGCTAGGGCTGACTAACCTCTTTTATAAATACAAGAAAAACGGTAGATTTGACATGCGTGGCTCTTGTGTTGTAAAACGTCACGCATGTGTTTTTTAATTTTTTATTATCGTCCTGTGAGGGTTGTAAGTGCTTTGGGTGGCATTTATGTATGATTTGAATGTTTTGTCATAGCAACTCCTCTTAGCTGTATTAATTACATGCTAGCTGTAGCTAGCTTACCTTAGCTGGAGAGGCAACGTTACCTAAAAGTTGGGCTGTGATGACTGTCCTTATTACGCGTCTCGTTTATCCGTTTTGTCGTGCACATTGTTGAAATGCTCAACAAGCGCACCATGTTTTGTTGAGACTTAGTGCAACTGTAGTAACGTGAGTCTGGGGTGATCAGGCACTTAAGACCATGCAGTCACAAGGACAACCAGGCTAAGCGCGCTAACTGGCTGGTAAAACTTCGGTGACATTAGAAACTCTGGAAACTCCCAAGAGTCTTCGCACTGTTTGCAATATAACACGTTCACTTTTTATGAAGTGGATTACTTTATTTGTAAAGCTCTGTTGTGATAACTGTAACTTACACTGAGGGTAAACCTTGGCGATGTTATGATGTGGACATTGAAGTTACTAATAAAAGTAGTGCCACGTTATTCTGCACCTTGGTTGCTTATCCGGATACCACCTAACGGATCAGCCTGACACTATTTTATGCTCTGTGATTTAACATTGTTTATGTTAGTTAGTTATCAACTCAACGGGGTCTGTCTGCAGTAGCTGGAAACACTCAAGACATCCCAAACGGTTGAACATTTACCGACTCAATACGCCCACTCGCACTAAAATAACACCTAAGTCGATCTGAACCCCTTGTTTGGCGTTTTAAATGCTAAATGAATTGAAGCAATTGGAACAATAAAGTAGAAGGACAATATATTTCTCAATTAAGAAACCTCATGTTTCCTTGTCCTCCCATCACCATTACTTTCTCTATTTTCTAAAATGTGCCATTTTCTAGCAGCACATTGCTTTCCCTGGTTTTCACTCATTCATTTCCCCAGCAAAGGTAGTTCTGTACCCAGACAAAAGACTGCACCCTTTTGCAAACTCAATCACCCTTTTGTCGGATAATCTTACTTCTTTGACCTCAGTGGGGGGATTGATAGGGCTCAGCCCACTCAAGGATCCCAACTTGTTCAACTGAGGTACACCAACCCCAGGAGATGTGAAAAGGAGCCATAAGAGCTTGAGAGAAGACGGATTGTTGGGTTGCCTCAAAACCAAAGTAAAACCCCTTGTTCAAACTGTGTTTTGGGGCAACTCTCCCACAGTCAGAAGATAAAAAAAGACTGGGATTTTAGCTGTATCTCATTTGCCGTTTATAAGCAGTAGATTACTGTAAAGCAATTTGATAGAGGAAAATATGTTTATACCCCTGTGATGTCACCTTGGCAAATATCACCGTGCCTGCTGAGTTTTTATTTCTTTATTTTTATATGAGAGTGACTATCTCTGGAAAAGCTCAAAGGGTTGTGTTGTTTATAGTATCACATCCAGGTTCAATAGCCCATGTTAACTAGCACACCTTTCTGTTTTCAGTGGATGTGCCTGGCAACACTCACTGCAGTCATGTTTATCAACCAGTTATTTAACTGTTGGCCCGTGTTACTGTTGAAATGTTAAAGTCTGCGTGCCACCTGGCAGTTTGCCGCAGTTTGCTGAGTGTCGCTATTGCCTCATAAAAAAGACTCATTGGAGGTTAGACATATTGACCTTTAGATACTTTTGTGTTTCCGCCAAAATTATCAGATGTCATTATCATGTATAAATACACCTTTTTAAAATCCTATGGGTTTCTTCAAACTTAATAGGGCCAATCCTTCCCGGGGATGGAAACACCTTTAACAACCAAAACTGTCATTTTGTTATTGGGACAGCAAAAATTCACTTGGAATATTATTTTGGGACAAAAATCTTGCTGCAAGGTTAGGTGTTCAAAAGAGTACAAAAAGATAATTAGGAGGAACTTACACTGCTAAAGAAAATCCGATTTGAAGCACAGTTCCATGTTTCTATTTTCTTCTATTCATCTTGACTAACTCTGTTCTCTATCCCCTTTAGAGGCCACCATGCCCTAGGAGGGTCCCTTTTCTCAGCTCACCATGATCACCATGGTGATATGAAGCCACAGTGAAACGTTGAAACACACAGACTCACACACAGACGGTCAGGTTCTGACTGACACGGCCCGCCATCCAGCTGGGCAGGGCGGCGTGTGTAATGGACAGGTGTAAGCATGTGGGGCGGCTGCGACTAGCCCCGGATCACTCCATCCTCAACCCCCAGAAGTGGCACTGCGTAGACTGCAACACCAGCGAGTCTATATGGGCCTGCCTGGGCTGCGCTCATGTGGCGTGCGGGCGCTACATCGAGGAACACGCTCTGCAGCACTTTCAGCAGCACCACCACCCGCTGGCTATGGAAATTAATGAACTTTACGTTTTTTGTTACTTGTGTGACGACTATGTCCTGAATGACAACACCACTGGAGACCTGAAGCTGCTTCGTAGTACGCTCAGCGCCATCCAGAGCCAGCGCTATGAGGTAACCACACGTAGTGGGCGCACACTCCGCTCTGCTAGCGCCGATGCCCTCATGCCATCAGGTGCCCGGGAGCTGCAACTGAGGGACGAGGACAGGATGTTTACTGCGCTCTGGCATCGTCGCAGGGCGCTTATGGGACGTGTTTTTCGCTTCTGGTTTGCAATGACTGAATGTGGGAAGAAAAGAGAGGAAGAAGAGCGAAAGAGGGATGAGGATGAAGAGCAGAAAAGGGAAGCAAGGGAGAGGAGGAAGGCTACAAAGAGAAAGCTACTGGTGGAGCTGGAGAATGCTCCTCTCAGGAAGAGTCGGCGGTTACATCGGAAGAGCCAGCGTGTAACACAAGCTCCAGTTGCAGCACCAACCACTCGGAGTGCACGCAGAAAGTCAAAAACCCCAGTGCCCACGTCTGTCACCCGCAGGCCAAGGACTCAGAGCCCTGCCATGGCTACACCTAAGAAAGGTGGGCGGACAAAAAAGGTCCAACCACCTCCCAAAACTAGGAGCCGTTCTTCTGCCAACAGATCTAAGCCCAAATCAGCAACCCCCCTTTCTGCCCAAACACCTGTTCGCCGCAGGCAGAGTACCAAACAAGGTGGCTCACCTTTTAAGCGACGCCCCACAGTCACTCCTGGAGTGACGGGCCTGAGGAATTTAGGCAACACCTGTTATATGAACTCCATCCTACAGGTGCTGAGCCACCTCCATTTCTTCAGGGAGTGCTTTCTGCGCCTTGATCTGACGCAGGCACTGGAGCTGCTCGCATCCGCCGTCCACGGCCAACTGACGGAGAAAGCCTCGTCCCAGTCCACGCTGATCCAAAGGAGGGGATTCCAGGCCAGCTCAGGATCTGGGGCAGGGCTGAGCGGCGGGGCCTCACGGACCCGCAGCATGGAGCTGATCCAACCCAAAGAGCCCAGCTCGAAGCACATCTCTCTCTGCCACGAGCTGCACACCTTGTTCCAGGTTATGTGGTCTGGCAAGTGGGCGCTGGTATCGCCTTTTGCCATGCTCCACTCAGTGTGGCAGCTGATCCCGGCGTTCAGGGGCTACGCCCAGCAGGACGCTCAGGAGTTCCTGTGTGAGCTGCTGGACAAGGTGCAGCACGAGCTGGAGAGCACTGGCAAGCACACGACCACTGCTGGGGTCCCACAGAAACGACTCATTAAGCAGGTGCTTAGTGTGGTCAACACCATCTTTCATGGTCAGCTCCTCAGCCAGGTACGACACATGCATGCACTAAAACACAGAATCACAGAATCACTTTCACATGACCATTAACTAAGCAAGCAAGCGTCACCTGACTCACTCACCATGATGTCTGCACACCAGGTTTATTATAGTACACAAAATACTGTTGTGAACTAAAAGTAAATTAAGAAAGAATAAAGGGAAAATATTAACAGTTGTAATATAATTTAACTTTCATTATCTATTACATCACTATCAAGAAAGAGTCTACCGCATGAATTTCCCTCGTTAGTTTACCAGACTTTATATTCTAGGAGCTTCACAATGAATCACTGTTTTTTCATATGCAACCTAGTCTTGTTAAATGGAATAACAAGAACATGATTAAAATATTTGAGTAGATCAAATAAATATATTAAAAACAGAACTTAATCTTTCTGTAAAGCTGAAAATAAACTTAAATGAGAAAAAGCACTCTTAAAGCTAAATAAAATGAAAAGTAAATTAATATTCCAAGCTATGATTTCCCTGCCGCACCAATGAACCTACTCAGATCTACCCACACACTCCATTGATAATTCAACAGCCTTCATCAGCGCTCACTGAAACGCATAATTCAGCCTTGGTGGATTCATCACTTCAAATCTCTCACTGCAGTCAAATTCTACTATGTTGTTTTTTATGGGCTGAGTGTAATTGTAATAGTTTAGCATTTACAGGTGCGTGAGAAGCTGATGACAATATTTGTATGTATACATAATAATCTAACAAGTTCAACATCACTTTACTGATAGATGAGAAATGGAGGGAGTCGGTACGAGGAAATTAGAATACTGACTACTTGTGGAGGCTAAGCACACACTCTGACACCTGCTCTTGCTGAATAGAGGGCTGTGTAAGGTTTCGGGTTTCTTGGCAATGTGGCTAATCACCACTTCTGTATTTTTTGTTTTTCATACAATATAAAAAGGGACAGGAAGCAGCAGATGGGATAAGCAGGACAGTTGGAACAATTAGGGTTAGAATAATATGTATAACATCTTTATTTGCCTCTCTCTCAAATGTAGGTGACTTGCCTGGCCTGCGACCACCGCTCAAACACTGTGGAGCCTTTTTGGGATCTGTCTCTGGAGTTCCCTGAGCGCTATCACAGGAATAGCAGGGAGTCTGCTCAGGCTTCATGCCATTTAACTGAAATGCTGGCCAAGTTCACCGAAACTGAAGCGCTGGAGGGAAACATCTACGCCTGTGAGCAGTGTAACTGTGAGTTAAAATAATGTCAACATACACACACTATCTTTTAACACATAGACTTTTACATCTCGCGTTAATATTTCATTTAATTTCAAACCTTTATTTAGACCGATTGGTCCCTTGAGATCATCAATCTCATTTACAAAGGAGACCTGCATCATTTAGTTCCACATGAAAAATAAAAACAACATACAAACAAACAACAGAGGATATCGTATTTACATATTCAACATTTACAAATACCCAGAGTGTCAGAAAGCATTTCATTTAGACGTGCCTTAAATACATTCAGAGAAATAATATGAATCTCAGAGCTAGACTGTGGTTAGGTCTGACTTTTTTGTTACCTACCTACCCAATCCAGTTGTTGTATTATGTTAGTCCAAACATGTCCTTAAAGTCTGTGTGACATGGCTAATCACGCTATGAACCTAAAATGTTTATTTAAACTGTTTGTTTAGCCTTCATTTATAGACAAGAAAGAGGTAAGATGAGCCTCATTATAGAAAACTACCACACTTTGGACACATGGATGACTGTTTTTCCTTAATCCTTAATATTTAAGGGGAAATCCCATATGCCCAAATACTAAATATATGATATGATATGGTGTTTGTTTCCTATTACCTTATTATTAGTTGAATATCAAAACACTCTTCAAATATTTTCTATGGAAGCCATCTATATGTTTTTACCACATAAGACTTAACACCAATTGGAAGTAGTATTGCAGTGTTTTTCCATATCTAAAGATAGTCTTTGTTTACAACTACAAAAATATTTACTAGAAAAACATACCAATGGCCAAAAGAGAGGTATGAGAATTAAAAAAAAACTGTACGATGGATACTTGCTGCCATAGAATTTCCAGCTGTGCAAGACTGAATGAATGTCCTGAGTTTGTCCTATAGCATGCATAGTTGTTCGTCACATGAACGATGACAAGCTGATGTGAAACGGAGTAGAGTTTGCATTGCATGTCAATCATTCCTCTTGTTTTCAGCTGCTAGGCGGCGGTCCTCCACCAAACCACTGCTCCTGACTGAAGCAAAAAAACAGCTGATGGTCCACAAACTGCCTCAGGTCCTGCGGCTTCACCTCAAACGCTTCAGGTAGGATTTTTAAAGAGTCAGTCAACCTCTGTAGCCAAATATGTATTAATCAATAGTATTTTTCTCCATATAACCCAGCTGTAGTTCATCCTTTTAGACTACTGTTTGAAGCAGACTAATGGTTCATTAGCTGATGTGCTTGCTGTCTTGTGATTGGTCCTCAGGTGGTCTGGCCGTAACCACCGGGAGAAGATCGGAGTCCACGTCCGCTTCGACCAGCTTCTAAACATGGAGCTCTACTGCTGCAGAGAGCCATCGCCCAAAGGGGTTTCCTGCTCCAGTCCCAGTAGCCCCAGCAGTCCCAGCAGCCCCAGCTCCACAGGCTCGCCAAGCCCCAAGCACTTCGTTTACGACCTCTCCGCTGTGGTGATGCATCATGGGAAGGGCTTTGGCTCTGGTCATTACACATCCTACTGCTACAACACAGAAGGAGGTGAGATCTTCTCTCGGGAACGTAGGACTTTAGTCTTGGAGAATTTCCATGTTTTTTCTCATAGACCTTCAGCTTCAAACTTGGAAATTCTTAGTTTATGCTCTTAATTTGTTTACCCTTCTCCTATTGCTCGTAATGTTTTATTTATGCCCCATAAAATGCGCTTGCTGTTCTTTCACAACTTAAAAAATCTTAGTATGTTTGTTAATGTGCTACTGCCTAACCAATCAATCCTTATTTAGCCCAATATCAAAAGACTACACATTTGTACTACACACCCTCAGACCCTAGGAAGAAAAACAAAAAACTCCCAGAGAAAACCCCACATTTAACGAGGAAACTAAGACTGACTTATGGAAGATTATTTTTCTTGAATCCAAATCAAAAGCAAGAAATTAATCCATGACATTGAACATCATTTAGATTTTTAAAAGGCTTCACATTTTGTTCTATAAAGCAACAAACTGAAAACACCGGCAACCCTTTTTCCCACTCTCACTAATGTTTTGACCAATGCCTTCTGCCTGACATGTCACCATTACAAATAGACTAAAAAAGAAGAGTTAAAGAAAAACATTACATTTCTCTGTAAGGGATTATAATGTCAGATACTTATTATAACAACATCAGCCTGTTGGCACAAAAATACATTAAAAGTGTACTTCTGCTTTAAAGATTACATTGCAGCCATTAAATTGTTTTCCTTGTTTTCTCCTGCAGGCTTCTGGGTTCACTGTAATGACTCCAAGCTGAATGTGTGTTCAGTGGAGGAGGTCTGTCGTGCTCAGGCCTACATCCTCTTTTACACACAGCGAGTAACTCAGGACAAAGACCGGCCGCTATAGGATCACAATCCGCCCTCCTCAGCGATATCAGCACAGCTCCAGTTGTGGTTCTTGTTCCTCTCTCTCTTTGGGCATTTTATATCCTTGAGGATTTGTCTTTTAAGTCTATAGTTTTAAATAAGACGAAAACATTTCTTAAAATCACGGTTCTGCTTTGTGAACTTCTTGTATATGGTGTTAATATTTAGGTATTTTTTTGAAAAGATTATGTTTTTGATTTGTGTACAGTTGTATTTTATAAAGAAGAGTATCAGCCAAGATGTCTCAGTAGCAGCAACCAGACTCAAAGTGTCCTCCACAGGTCGCACATACAGGTGTATTCACGTGTCTGCCTGTCTGCGTTCGGTGACTTGTTGATTGTAAATGCTGTTGAAATGTCACTTTAGATAGTCGTTACATTACTGGATGTAAGTTGTTCACTTACTAGAAATGGCCTCCCTGTGTTTGACAGCTAAATGATGAGTGTTAGCAAAGACGCAGTGGCGTAACTATCGACGGTGCAGCCGGTGCAACGCACGAGCAAACCGTTCAATCAACCTGTACTGTACTGTAGCTAGCAGCAGCAAAGCCGGCTGTATTTCCTGCCAGAAATGTCTACAGAATACGCTGTCCGCATTGTGTTTTACTCTGTTCATCGTCAAAGATCTGTACACAAGAAGGGCAGGGTTTATTTTTCTCTCTGAAGTATTTCTGTGTCTGTCAGGGAAAACTGGCAGACCTCAAGCCAAAGCCTTGGGGGAAGTGTGTGGAAAAACCTCAGCATTTCCAAAATGGTTCAACATTTGCTGGGTCTCTCTCTCTCCCTCCCCCCCCCCCCTCTTTTAACTTTCCAAAGGGATTGTTTTATTTGGCTAAATGCTGCCACCTCTCTTCTCCAGAATGTAATTGTCTTCAGAGCGTGATCCATCCATGAACTGGTGTGCTATAAGTGCCCTTTCGTTAGTGAATATATTTTTATACTTCCAATAAATCCAGCAAAGTTTAGTCTGAACACCTACAGTCCCACCCAGACCAGCATTTCGATAATGAATGTATTTTTATACAATCCTTCTCAGAGTTTTTATTTTAGAAGAGGCCATTGACTGTTTTTAAGAGTTTTATATCACCTGATTCTTCAACACCACCAGCTATGACTGTTCCATCACCATTGAGTAGTTGCATGTTCATACTGATTTTCTTTTACCATCTGTTCAGTAAAATATCAGGATTTAACCGGATTTTGACATTTATCTCCATAATGGAGAGAATTGTACAAAAAAAGGTATTCTCCACCTGAACCATTTATTCAAAGCACACTTTGTATTGTTTTATTTTTGTGACATGTTGTTGGAAAATGTTTTTGCTACTACTTCATGAATGTGTGAATGGGTGTGTGTACATTTATGGAAGTTATACTATGCAAATTGTTACCTCAATTTTGTTCTAGAAAATTACCTCAATAAATGAGAATATTTTTTCATTTTTCTACAAAAGATGCTGGTTTGGTCTTGTTCTCAGTTTGTATAGGAAGAGAGCCAAGGGAAGTTTATTTGTTAGCCCAAAATCTCAAATTCATATTTTAAAGTATTTTGCCTTTTTCATAATTTCATTAAAATGAGCTTTATTGGCATGAACGTTTTCCAAAGCATTAAAGGTCCCATGTCATGCTTTTCCGGTTATTACCCGTCCCCTTGTGTGTTATGAAGGTTTTTATGCATGTAAACGGTCTGCAGAGTCAAAAACCCTCAAAGTACACCCTGTAGGGAGTAAAACTAACACAGAAAAGACCTCCCTAAAACGCCTCGTTGGAGATTTCTCATGTTCTTCCTGGGCATCGTGACGTCTGGATACCCACGCCCAGCGCTATGACGCACCCTCTGCCAGCCAAGCTTAGTAGTTGAATCTGTTGGAATCTCAGGTTCAGTTCAAAACAGGGCTAACAAAGTTGCTAGCGTTTACATATATCAACTACAATGTCAGCCTTACATGTTTCTCATAGCACGAGAATGTCTGCATTCACCCTACGGTCAGTACATTATAGTTGGCGTTCCTAACCGAGCTACCGTTCATGGCGTGTATGCTACCGAGATAAACAACTACGCAACCGAGAGGTAGACATGCTAGGCGAAAACATTGTTTTCATGCCAGCTACAAAGTGTGCCACTCTCTCTTAACGGTTTCAACATAAACTGTACCGAAAATAAATACCTCACAATGTCTATCTAATTATGAACTTGCTTTACTTTCACGGAACACATTTTTGGTGATAACAAATGCAACAAAGTAACATAACAAAGGAGCCGTTTCTCAATCGCGAGGAAACTGGCTTCCAAGCCAATATTTCAAGGATACTACGTCATCGAGTGCCGCCGAAGGACTGTTCCAAATAATCTCCAGCATACTTGGAATTCCACCGAGGCCACGTCCTTGGTTTGGGGGTAATTTCGAGGCTGCACATGGGTAGACTTCGCGTCCTTCAAATCCCCACAATGCTTTGCGCACGGACCAATGTCAAAAACCCTTGCGGAGAATGCCTGAACCGACGCAGCACAGCACACATTTAAATGTAAGTATGTAGTGGCGTAGAGCATGTGTTGATAAATATGTTACTTTGTTGCATTTGTTATCACCAAAAATTTGTTGTTAGCCTGTTCCATTCTTCTTTGTTTTCCAAAGCCGTGGCTTGGAAGTATACTTGCTTCGTTTCTGAAGGAAGTGACTTGGAAGTATGCGACTACCAAGCCAGTATCCTCGCGATTGAGAAACGGCCATGTTCTACGCCACTACATACTTACATTTAAATGTGTGCTGTGCTGCGTCGGTTCAGCCATTCTCCACAAGGGTTTTTGAAATTGGACCGTGCGCAAAGCATTGTGGGGATTTGAAGGACGCGAAGTCTACCCATGTGCAGCCTCGAAATTACCCCCAAACCAAGGACGTGGCCTCGGTGGAATTCCAAGTATGCTGGAGATTATTTGGAACAGTCCTTCGGCGGCACTCGATGACGTAGTATCCTTGAAATATTGGCTCGGAAGCCAGTTTCCTCGCGATTGAGAAACGGCCACTGTGTTAGACATGGGCGGTTGACTAATCAGAACAGAGTGGCGGAGCACACTGGGCTCACAGGGAGAAAAAGGAAGAAACGTTACGCTGTAACAATTAAAATACGGGTGAAATACACACAACAACTTTCATCTTTCCTTATTAATAAGTAACTTATTTTAAAACCAGTTGAAAATATTCCCGCTCCTTTGACGTCCTCAAGATGCACAGCTGGTACCAATGACTGACGTCATCACCGGGTGCCAGCAACAACATATATTTTGTTTTTGGTCGTTACATTTTTTGTTTGTAACACTAAAGTAATTAAAAAATAAATCGACTTTTCTCCTCCTAACTCTTATAACATTTGCATAAGCAAACTGTATAGGAAAATAGTATACAAAACACAAACAAGGAAAACATGAATAAACAAAACAATCTTTACTCCAAATAAAAGATAAACTATTAATGGTATTTAAATTATTAAATTTGTTTATTTAAACCCCTGAAAACAAAAATGAAAAAACTAGCCCTGTGACAATTTTTTCCTAATATAACTGAAATCTACTTTTCTTTAAAAAATAAATAGTCATTAATAAATGGCATCTTTCTTTTTCATTACCTCAGAACATTGGACCTTTCTGACACATTTGAGCTCTGTAAATCAATTTTCTTTCAGTGTCAATCAGTCATAGTTGTTAATATTCTGTTCTAAGAATGAAAAGATATGCAACATGGTGAATAGGATTTAATTGTTTAATAACGTGACATGGGCTGCACAATATGATCATTTTGAATAAAACGATAGTACTTGAAATAAATAAACATATATTCAAACATTATCCAGCACCGGGAAAAGAAAGGCAGACATGATCACATTTAAAACCCAACATACTTACAAATTAATCTGAACACAAAAGGCACAAATACAAAAAAGTTATGTATTATAAAATGCAGCCTTCTAAAGATATTCTTTCATATAGCTCCAAAAGATATCTGAGTTCAACATCGCGCAAGTTGACATCATCATGACGTTGAAAAAAAACAATATAGTATGCAGCCCTATAAGTGATGGAACACTTTATATTCATAGATTTTCAGGACATTACTGCATTCTTCCTGGTGCTGTGTAATGTTCCTGAAAGCCATTCGTATTTAGTCCACTTGATAGTTAGACCGAGTCACGAATGCGACCCTCTCTTAAATTGACAAGAGCGGCACATATTCTCAGAACTTTGTCTATTTTAGCAGCCACGGTACGCGGGACAACCTGCGATAATATTCTGTAAACTTTCAGTCGTCTGATCGCTCTTTCAGCATGAACTCTTATAGATGCCATTTGTCTAGTGCTTATCAACCATGTCTCAGTTGGCTGCCCACATTTTTTGGTGTAGAATGGCTTGGCCAAGTCAACATCATGCTTTAACAGCACATCTTCAATAGGAAACCCTCGAACTGCCATGACCTCATCTCCAGGCATCAGGTAGTTTAATATTCCTGAGTTCTTTGTTATGAATGTGTCACTGCATTGCCCTCCATACGCCGCAGAGATAAACATGATTAGTCCACACGGGGCATAAGCTACCTGGTATTTCATTGTGTTGAGTGAATCAAGGTTACGGGGTTTTTGTAAAAGGATCTCATTGCAGTCTAAAATACAAGTTAAGTCAGGGAAATCCTCAGTGAATTCTTCGGGCAGGTTTTCTTCAATAGTTTCTTTTGGAAGCCACGGAATCAGAGGTCGCAAAACCTCATCCAGTTTGTCAATCCAATAGGGGATTATTTCGCGAGCCATGCTTTGGGATATATGAAACTGTTTGCTAAGATCAGCCATCCCACGGTTGGTCCTTAGTTTCATTAAGGTCAGAAGAACTTGATCTCTCACAGAGAGTGTAAATGGATTGGAGGCGTGCCCTTCCAGTGTTGACACGAGGATGTTAAATGTCTCTAGAGATACACCAGTGTAGAGCAAAGCATCCGAGTCGTTTTGTAGCATGAAGTACCCAATCTCGTCACACTGAGTTGTCTGATCATGCACATTCTTAACGCCGACACTCTTGGTATAATCATGATCCAGTTGTGAAGGGTCCTCCCACTGTGTGTGAGCTGAGCAACGCTGTGGGGCAGGGGGATCTTCAGAACTTAAGATGCCAGCGGCATCTGAGATGGTCATAGCGAAGTCCACTGAGCAGCCTGACAAACACAATGTAAAAGAGATGACACCACCTGAATACAATAAGTTTCCCAAAGGTAGGACTATTCAAGAGCTCTTAGGCTAGATAGGTGAAAAAAGTAAATAACAGAATAGCTTTAAATAATTAGAAGTGAATGGAATTGTGGATCGACAGAAAAATCATCAACAGAAAATAAATTGCATTAATTAATAGACATGATCGCATTCAATATCAGCCCGTACAGCCTCCCAGTTTGTACATTTATAGTATATATAAATAACAGTGATGCAAACACAGGTATGGTGAAAAAAGAGAGAACTATCCGAAGCAGAAAGAAACAGCGTAATATACCATCTGACAAAGGCCTGTGCTATAATGCTTCAATTAACTGGCTATTATTTATAATATACTCAGATCAATAGGAGACAGATATTTTAAGTTATAAATCAAGGGTTTTTATTATTATTTACAACATCCTCCGAGGTCCCTACAAATGATTGAACTCAACCTCTGCTTAAAAAACCAAAATCACAGACAATTCATTTGGCCTTTCTTTCATGCTGTGCAAAGAAAACGCAACCTCTTAATCCAGATATCTTACCATGACTCGCGCATGTGTGGACGGTGTGGCATGACCACCAAAACCGAAAGATATGGACACAAGATGTTTGCAAATGTACTTCGTATCCATGTGAACATGATTTAAGTGGGGGGGACCTAACCTTCTCTAGGGGGGTCCGGGGGCATGCTCCCCCGGGAAGANGATATATTATAAAAAATATGTTTGAGTGTAATTCTGCCTGTAATGCCTTGATATAATTGAGATTTAGCAAAAACGTAATCAGAAAATCCTAGTGTTCCTCCTTCATACGTATTCCACTTTTATGTTTTGCTGTTATGAAGTGGCGAAAATGTACTGAAATGTTTGTACCTCTCTAAATGTATCTGACGGCTGCGTGTGTGTGTATTGTGATTCAAAATGTAACAATACGAATGATTGCTGGATCCATGCTTTTCATTGTTACAGGTTTACTACTAAGTGTCTACAAGTATCACACACAATTCATTATCATTTCAAAATACACAAAATGTTTTTATTCATTTGAGTAAGCCGCTTTGGATAAAAGCATTTAAAAAGTAACATGTAATGTAATGTAATGAAAAGAAGAGCAAGAAAATCATGAGCAGAAACAGGCATTATACAGATCAGGAGGAAAGTGGTTCAAGATCTCAAATGAGCAGAACAAAAAACCTTCAACAGAGAAAACAAAAACAAATTATGACACAAGACAATTTGATCTGCATTTCGACTTTCTCAAGAATCTCGCTTTG